CTGCATTTTCTTGGCTTTCTTTTTACTTTATTTTTACTTTACCGCAAATACTGGAAGAATGCTGAGACAGCAGTCGAGCTTCCAGGTCTATCTTCTTGGTCTATCTTCTTACAGGATGGATGATCTTGCTTAGAATATCAGATTTGGTTTGACCAAACCCTATTCTTCTTCTTCTTCTTCTGTTGAATTACAGGTCACCATGTTGTTGGTGTATCTTCGTATTTTGGGGTTGTGCAGATATTTATGTACAGTAATGTGGAAGATCTAATCTATGTGCGGTTAAAAAGAACAGGCGCAATCCTAGCGCAACTGTGTTTTCTGCACCTCAGTCTTTAAGCTGGCTACTGAGGTACAGGCGATTGCACTTGCAGGGAGAACGTTCCAGAGTCTGATGGTGTCTGGAACGAAGGTTTTCTGATTACTTACTTTACTGATATGTGCAAGTGCGAGCATATGGGATATGCATCTTCATCTGATGGCCACGAAGGGAAGTTGAGACCTGATTGAAGTATTGCGCAGCTGGTACATCAACCAAGGAGAAGAGTATGCGGTAATTCATTATCACTTTGAACTGAGCAAGCCTTTCTTCAAGGGTGGGCCACTGCAGATGAAGGAGCATGTTGGTTACACTACTTGTAGTACGACGGTGGTCTCCTATGGTAAACCTGGTGTACCGCCGTTGCACCATCTCCAGCTTCCGAATATTAACCTTGGTGAAGGGGTCCCACGCTTCGCTTCCGTATTCCAGGACAGGTCTGAGCATAGACAGAAATAACCGTCTGGTATGGGTCATTCTTTAATAAAACTGACATTTGTCGATATTCCCCATACACAGACGGTATGACCCTCATATAGGCTATGTGTTGAAGATATCACGGCTAGATTTTAGCCGTTAGGCGCCTCCAACAAACATGACAAACTTGAGGAGAAATACATCATTTATCTTCAATTGCAGTAATTTTCTAGGCAATTGTCAGTCCCTAAAAGTTCCCTTTTTACCCCCCTTCCCCACGAAATAGAAATATAAAAGAAATAAAAGGACTTACCGAGCTTTTGGCTGCTTCTCGATGACCCACGTGAAGCATTCTGACCGACAGAAATCAAAATGGGGGCTAATGAATATTCAAATACGATTGAGGATGGTTGACCTCGCCACAGCTGGCTCCTCCGCGCGTCACGTCGAGGATAGCGTGCGCACGTGAAGCAGACAACATGAGAACTCAAACGTGAGTAGCAGCAGCTTTTTCCCCTTCTTTTTTATTTTATTTTTTTACGGGTGGGGGGGGGGGGGTGGCCTTGTCAGACAATTTCCAGAATCTTGGGTCTCGATCCTTCCTTACATTTTATTGGGGGGGGGGGGGGTAACTGCCCCCAAGCCCCGCATCAGTACGCCTGCGCGAGGGAGCACAGTGAACGATAGGGGTGAAGGTGACGGAAGTGACTACCCCTCACAGTTTTTGAAGTTTTGTTGTATTTAAAAAAACTATAGTATAAAACAAGCAATATATTTTGTTCACACTTCACTTTTCTACAATATCTACTTGTACATTTTGAAGGATATTATGCGAGGGAGCGTAGCCCTCCAGAGCCTAAAAATGTGTTGCAGTCTTCAGTCAGTATTTGCTATACATTTTTTTTGTGCACTTTTTCAAATATTCCGGGGGGGGGGGGGGGGGGGGGGGGGGGACGACGATCCCCCTTCTCCCCGGGATCGCCGCCCATGTAAAGTACAAACTTACCCGTTTCCTCGACTGTCCCGAGTGACAAGTTCCAGTCTGTGTTTGGGCCGTCTTGTACGTATACGTTGTCTCATCTTTGACAGGCGTGTTGCTAGTTTTTCTCCTTTTAAATTTAGAAGCCGAGTATGGTGACCGTTCTTCTCGTTTAATTTTCAATCCGACATACTTGTGTGTTTTGCTGATTTTTTTAAAAGTTTTTTTTGGATTCCTTTAAATTTGCATCGGACTCGGATAGTTTGCCGAACAAGTTGGAGCACGTGGGACAAATTAGATTCATTTTTTCTTACCAGGGGTCATTTCCATTCCTAGTGATTTAAGGTCATCTGCTGATGAAAATTTCTTATTTTTGATTTTAGCATTTAAAGTACGTCTCTCTGAATCATAAACCAAATCACAACCACAATTACAACACCAGTAATCAGCCATGATCGTTGAAATTGAACCCTAACGGTTGTGTACCTAACGTTCACTGAGAAAAAGGTCGACCAGAGAGTTTAAACTCTCATCTCCCTGATGTGACCACCACCACTGCACCTGTTACCACCCGGTACACACCCAGTATCCACCATGCATTTCCGATGCGTGATGTACATGTACGTGCACGTACGCGCACGTCTATGAATGAGGTCAATGGGGTGGAGACTAAAAAACTTTGTCATGAATATTCATTACTTTGATTCAAGATGGCTGATGTCTGAAGACAGTCAAGTGGAAGAGATAATAACACTTTTTTGAAGAAGATTTCATATGCAGAGGTCCAAGGTACATATTTTCTTAATGTTTATCATGTGTGGTTTAATTCTAAATGCCAATTGTATATGTTAGTGCATGCGATTCTTACAAAAAAAGGATTTAACTTAGCGTCAGGGCAGTATCGTCTTATCGTATACCCGTAGAGTGTATCTTCAACGTACGATGGCATAGGCGATTGTTCAGTCTCTATATCCGGAGGTCTAGTGGAGCCAGACGATATAGAGACTGAAGCTTTTGGTCTAGTCTGAGCAGAGCCTTGTAGCATAGCACCTTGATGTTTCTTGGGCAGGAGCTCATGTTGCGTTGCAAGAAGGACGGGTGCAGTTTGCCTTCTTGGCAACCAGGCTAATATGGTGATTCCAGCTCATGTTTTGGTGTATCTTTATTCGGGCCATCTCAATAGCCCATTCCACAATCTCGTCCTCTTCCGCCATAGTTCGGAATGGGTTAGGTCCCTAATACGCAACCAGTGGTGTCCTTCCATGAAATGTGTACCCAAGTTGTGTATACCTCAAGGTGGACAATGGGACCCAATATATTCGTGAGGCTGAATGAAATGATATCTCCCCCATTTTCAATCTCCTTACAGCTGCCTCGAGGCAAGGCATATTCTCTTGCAAATACTGTTCGAAGTCCTTGAACCACATTTCGATTCTTTGACTGGACACTACCGCTCTCTCCTTTCCCATCGGTTGAGGCCTTAGATAAACGAGTTTAGGATGTCTTGCCCTAAATCCCTGCCACCATTTGTCACCTGACATGCTTTCCTTGAAGCAGTTTGCACGTCCCTTGTTCATCTTTGACTTGCGAGAGTAGACAATTACATATTATTTAATGCCTTGTCGCGTTTTGGATATCAAATTTGGTTTGACCTTACTCTATTCGGGCCATCTCAATAGCCCATTCCACAATCTTATCCTCTTCCGCAATAGTTAGGAATGGGTTGGGTCCCTGACACGCAACCAGTGGTGTCCTTCCATGGAATGTGTACCTCAAGGTGGACAATGGGACCCCATACATTCGTGAGGCTGAATGAGATGTTATCTCTCCCATTATTAATCTCCTTAGAACTGCCTCGAGGTCATGTCGTCGCCAAGGCATATTTGCCTTTAGAGTAATAATATGCTATAGTATAATAAATCAAACAATCAAACATAAATAAAACACACACACACACACACACACAAATCAAATGGACAAATATCAAATATGCCCACGCAAGAGGAAGTTTCTTTTCCAGCCAATGGCTGGTTTTATTGGCCTTAAACATCATCTTTCCTTCGACGCTTCTAATTGGCCTGTTCTGTGCTCTTTGTAGACTTGAGTGAAGAAAGCAAAATTTCTGCCCTCTGCTTATGTTGGTAGATGAGCAAGATTCTGCAGCATTTCTCAACTCTAGAGATGGTCAATGAGGTTGATCATGCCATTTATGAAGCTGTTCAGAAAATTACAGACCGCCTCTCTTTGTTGAGTTCGCAACTGGTTTAGGGTGGCCCATATTTCATCGTCTTTGATGTTGTGACCAAAGACGGTTCTACCCTCCAGAACGTCTTGGGAGAGTTCAACACGGGTGTCCTTTACCTGATTAGATCTACATAATAACATCTGATGATCAGGTCCTGGTGCTCTCTGTTGCACTCCTGTGTTCATTAACTGCTTCTTGGTTCCATAGAATTTTTCTCGGTATCATATGGATTATGGTAACACTTCGATGTAGATGATCCCCTGAAGATTTTCTGCTTCACTGAGATTTACTTGACAAACTTCTATTTGAATAGAAATTCTCTTAAAAGAAAAAAGTTTCAGCGTTCGTGTTTGAACAACTTCAAAGTTGCTTGGTTTGGTCCAAGGTTGAGTATATCCCTGCTTTTGGGAAGGTTGACTCGTCAAAGGCCGTTTTTCCACCCTGGTTTACCGTCTTCCTCAGCTTGTCTTTTGCCAGAGCCATTGCTGACCTGGGATGGCTGGCTACACCATCAGATACAAAATTACAGCCCAACAGTAACACACTCTCAAACACACTCACAAAAACTAAGAAGATATCCATATATATATATCTACTCCATCTCTCACATTAAAAAAAATAAATAATGAGTAAAGAAGAGATACACGTAGATGTCACAGAACCAAGAAATTAGCCATCAAATTGAATTCTTTCTTGTAGTCCCTCTATATTTTGCAGTGATAACTGCACTTGGTCTTCCAATGTGTTGACATAGTAACCATGTCACATGCCAGAACTTGGTGTGTATGCTTGTAAGTAAAGCAACCAGGGGACTGACAAATGATGGGACTTGGTAATGAGTATTAATGTCTTACCATTGCAAAAGTGGCAATTCAACTAATAACAATGAAATAGAAAATAAAAGTAAAAAGGAATATGAATGTTAGAATGCATAAACATCTGTAAACAAAAATTTCAAAATATTTTTTGAAAGCTATTGTTTGGGCATAATAGGTCGTAAAGATTTATTCGGTAGCTCTGAAATGAAAATTGTTTTCTTTCAGGTCTCCATTCTAGCAAGGTTGGAGAGCAGTGTGAAGCAATCGTTCGGTTTCCCCGGCTCTTTGAGAAGTACCCCTTCCCCATCCTGATCAACTCGGCTTTCCTCAAGCTGGCTGATGTCTTCAGAGATGGGTATGTATGTCTGCATTGCAGTAAAGTGATTTTGATTGCAAAAACAATAAATAGATGAAATTAGAATGAAATAAAATAAAATAATTAATCAATACATTAAAAATAGATGGAATAATTGAATCATTGTGCAAAACATCTTGCATACTGAATTAGCTCTTTTCCACTTTTTCCTCTTTATTTTGAACTCCATCCCCTGCTCCGTTTCATCTCTTCCTCTCTCACTCCCTCTCTCTCTCTCTCTCTCTCTCTCTTTCCCTCTCTGTCCCTCTCTCTCTCATTCTCTCCTCTGCTCTTGTAGGTCTATGAAATTTAGTCAAATAATTGTTATGGCTGGAAATCGAAGAAGAAAACTCCATGTTTATTGGAAAATCTGCTATTGTTAATGTTGATTGTTTGGGGAAAAAACAACAACAAAACACTAATATTTTTAACTGAAAATGCTGAATAGATTTAGTTGTCTTCAAAGACAGGTTTTAAGGCATACTATTTCTGTCATCACAACAGTGACATTGCTTTTGGTTTCTTATTCCTCTTTCTGTTGTCCAGAAACAACTTCTTACGTCAGTGTGTCTTGAGGGTTTCCCAGCAGAGCGTGAAGCACCTGGATAAGATTCTCAATGTGGATGAGTTTGTGAGAAGGATATTCTTTGTCATCCACAGCAACGACCCAGTGGCTAGAGCTATCACCCTCAGGTGAGATGGAGTTGATAAGAAGTGGATATTTTACTGTGGATCAGAGCTAGAATTAAACTCTGCAGAAGAATTGTTTTAAGTCATTGAATTTGCAACCACGAATTATTTTAGCCTTGTAAATTTTAAAATCACCATAAGTGTCTGTTATCATGTCATCTCTCAGCTTAACAGCTGTTTTTGCCTCATCAGAACATATTTTACTGCAAGAAACAAATGTTTTGCATACATTTGTACTTTGCTATTTAAATTCTTATGTAGCCTATTTTGTTCATTTGCTGTACATGATGTATGTGAAGTTGACAAGAGTTCATGTTGGTGCACTAGCAAAATTAAACCAAAGTAAACCAGTTATTGTTTGAGTAACTTTAAATACTTCGCTTTCTAGGGTCCTTGGTAGTATAGCACCGATCATTGCAGAACGTAAACGAGTTCATCACAGCATCCACGCCGGTCTGGATTCCCACGATCTCATAGAGCTGGAGGCAGCCATCTTTGCCGCCTCCTGCTTTGCGGCAGAATCCAAGACCTTTGCTTCAGGCATCAGCAACAAACTGGTCCAGTTGATTGAAGGTGAGAGAACATTTTTTTTGTGTGGGTGTTTATACCAAGTTCTTGGAGTCAGGCGTTATAGATTTGTTGTAGTCCTGGCCCTCCTGGGGCAGATGATCTTAGTCAGATGCACAGTGGTTTGAACATCCCAGCTGATTATTGTCTCTTTGAATCCAAAATGGAGGTGAAACATTTGGTTCCTCTTCATTGATTTTTAGGTTAGTGGTAAAGGAAAGAGATAAATATTTTAAAGCTTTTGTAATAATTTGTTTTTCTTTGCTTTTATATTAATTTGAAATAATATAATTTTTAGTAAATTGGGTTTTATTTCCTTGGTAGTTAGAATATCAAGAATGAACTTTAAGCATTGAACTGTGTAAAAAAAAACATCTTTGGCTGCTAGAAGTATTTTATAAGATTAGATCATTAATGGTTTATTTTTCAAAATAAATAATAAAATAAAAAATTCAAAATATTTTTTTTCCCCCCATGCTCAGGCTTGGCCACACCCATCGACGTCAAGATGAAACTCATCCCCATCTTCTGCCACATGCACTACGACAGCGAGCTGTCGGGCAGAGTGCGTCACATGTGCCTCAGGCTCCTGGATTCCTACCCTGCGGAGAGCTTCCTGACCGTCACCCTGGACACCCTGACAGACCTGGCCGCCGCTTCACACATGCACATCCCCGATCAGGTGAGCATACCTGCCACACCTTCGGAATAATCCCGAATATTCTGATTTTGGGGGTTTTTTAGGACCTGAAAATTCAGAATATTCAAATTTTTCAAAATTTTGAGTTTTATCATGTGCCGTGATTTGAGAGTTCATGTATTGCATGCGTTGAATGGCTGCATGATCGAGCAGCGAATTTGTATTCGCTTTTTGAGACAGATTTACCGCGTATTGCCAGTTAGACTGCCGCTGAAGGCATACCATGCTAAAAATTCCTAATTCTTAATTTCAAATGTTGGCAGGTATGGGTGAGGCATGACTGGATTTATCAGGACAGTCATTTGACAACATTTTGAAATTGATAGATTTGTTTGGTTGGTTGTTTGTTTGTAACAGTCGTGTGAATCCCTTTTTGATTTACTGGGAATGGTTTGTAGGCTTTGTGGTTTGTATTGATATTGGTCTTTTACTTTGACTCTACATTTCTAGCGGTTTTATAGCATACTTGGCTGTTGAGGAAATCTGTAAGGAGGCATGATTACAATATTATACTGTCAGCTTTGCTTTTGGACTTGTGCTAGAAATGCTAGGGCCTCAATATTTTAGGGTGTGGTCAAAAACTCCTTGTTTGGGGAGAGACCTGTGTGTTTGCTCCCAGGTTTTTCAGTGTTGGAAAATTCAATATGGTTGATTAATGGTGAGTTGTATGTAGTTGAATTGTAGCCCTTTTATGTAAAGATGATTTGTATGAGCATGGGATTATGTTCACTACGCATTCTCCAATTGTAAATAAACGTGGAATAGTTCCTTAACCCTTGAACTTGTGATGTGATAAAGGGTTTTTAAATTATATCAGTGCTTATCCTAGATCAGAAACGGAAACTTGGATCTTATTCTGCACTTCTTACTGTTACCAGGTCGATCTATTGCTGGGATACCTGGAGAGTGACATCCGACGGTCCATCAAGTCCATCTGCATCGCGAAGCTCCTGACCCTTGCCCACAAGGCCCCGCATGCCTGGTCCCAGGCCAACGTGGACACCTTGTGTCTCTTCTGCAATGCAGACCAGGAGAAGAGGCTCATCGTCGGTTGCCTGGACATTCTGAGGATACTGTCATCATCGCCAGCGTTCCTGACATCAGATACGGGTGAGGAAGAGGCTTACATGAAATGATGTGTTCATGAAAATGATGATGGTTGCCTATATATATGCAAAGGATGCATTTTTCTTTTCCCACTTGCTTTTAGGGCATTAGCACTGAGCTTCTATTTAACATGACTCTTCCTTCCCCTTTTTTGTCTCTCTCAAATGAAAAATTAAATGGATGACTTAGCTCTGGGCCCCGTCTTACAAAGATTGATCCAAATCAATCGCAAGTTCTCCAATTAATCGCAAGTTTGCAGTCTTGTATTTCTTATGTTCATAGTTGCGATTGATATCAACTCGTTGTAAGACAGGGTCCTGGTAAGCTCCTAAAAAGAACTCTGGAAATCTACCATGTGCTCTGGTGAAGAAAAACAAATAAATATGCAAAATATTCTTGCTTTTTTCCCTTCAGGGAATCACTTTTTCATTTGGAATGTAATGTGCTCCCTGTAACAAAGTGATATTTGCACTGTATTTTTGTGTACCTATGTATGTGAAATAATGTTGCAGGTTAATGGTTAATGATTCAAGTGACCATGGCAGAAATTTGTTCGATATGTCTTCAAATGGCTGGACAATGATCTGCTAACACGTTATATGTGTAACTCTTGATTGAAAGGCAAGAGGGTGACTCCAAGTGCCTTGTTGATGATACTCCTCTGTAAATCGACCTGTTGATCAAGCAGTCAATTAAGAGCCGTCGATGATCAATGATCAAATGTCTTTGATCTTTCCTCAGATGGCTCGGTGCGTGAACTGTGCAGGAGTCTCCTGGCCCACTGGGAAGTGTGCGTCACCTCCAGGGCCCTCCAGGTTCTCATCAGGCTCATGTGCAGACAAGGAGGACTCACGGAGGAGAAGATGAAGGACGGCATCGAGGATGTCAGTGTTGCCATGGAGACGGTGGCCACGCAATGCCTCATGGAGGACGGCCGTTCCAAATCGGCTGTGAAGAGTCTCAAGGTTGGTGTGATATCTCTATTCTCTCAAAGTACAGCTACTTTACGAGTATCCTTGTGCTATACAAGGTACAGTCAAACCTGTCTATAATAAGAATAGTTCATCCTTATATAGCGCATTTCAGGACTGCAGGCTCTCTCAATGTGCTTTACAGATATATATTATTACCCCGGTCATCGGATCCATGCTTACCCGCACACAAGGTCACCCGAGGGAAACAGAAAAAATGGCCACTGTAGACAGGTGGCCTTTCTAGACAGGTTCTACAACACACATTCGTTTCTTGAGGCAGACAAAATACATGGCCATCATAGAAAGTGGCCTTTAAAGAGGGGTGGCCCCTAAGACAGGCTTGACTGTATATCATTACTGGCCCTTTCAGCTACCATGATCGGGTTTCAAGCAATCAATTTTGATTAATTTTTCTTACCAGTGTCAAGAGTTACAGTTACAGTTAGTTTGTCTGTGAAAGGTTGTTTGAGCTGTGACAGGTCATTTGAACCTTGTAACATGTGATTAATAAGTTGCTGAATTGACCACTAGGCCTGGTATGTACAGTTCATCTTGAAGATGATGATGATTGAATGAAAAAAACATATTCAGATAACATATTTGTACAGGGATAGGAAGTGATTATCAGTATTATCAAATCAGAATAGTCAAATGTAGCACCCATTATATTCCACATACTAACAATCTTGCTCTATGATTGGTCAAAAGTAAATCACGTGATGAAAGATAGTTCTCCATTATTTATGGGAGAAGCAAAAAGTTTGTTACACTGTGTAGAAAGTACTAAGGCAAAAAATTAAGTTTTTCATTTCGGGGGCTCCATTTCAAATTTTGGGGAAATTTTCGGGGGCTACTTTTTCAACTTTCGGGGGCTCTTTTTTCCATTTCGGGGGCTCTTTTTTCTGGGGCTACTTTTTCATTAATTCATAAAAGGATAGCCCTACAGTTTGTTGAGATTTGTTTAGTAGGCTAAGGTTTCGGGCTTCCTGCTTCATAATTGCCTATTAAAAAAGAAACCCCTTTTTCTAGTTCAATAACTAAGTTTTCATGCATTGATTTGATGCAAGAACTGTAACATAATAGACCCTAGATTGTGACTATTTCTGGCCATGAATTTCGATAATCATTTTTCAAAGTAAAATTTTCACAAGAAAATCAGACAGTCGTTTAAAAACGTAGACATTAGTAATACTTTTACTAATTCTAAGCTCAGGTTTCGTAAATCTATTCACGAAACTATATTGAAATCGCGCCAATAATGATGCAAACCAACAGATAACAATTTCAAAGTGTCAAATCTCTTCGACTCGAGCTCAGCCCAACTCACACACACACTGCAGCTGCAGGAAACTTCAACACCGGCGCCGCAGGCGTCAGACGCCTGCGCTGCCGGACGCCTGCGCTGCCGGTGTTGGAGCTTTAGCCCATCTTCACTCACACACACTGCACAGCGGCAATGCACTGTATTGTACAAATGCGTGTCAGTCACGGTGATTTTGTCTGATTTTCTTTACTTTTAAGAAATGATTATCAAAATTACGTAAACATGGCGAGAATATCACAAAATAGGCTTTAATTTCATACCTCTATTTATGGAAACTTTATAAAATTGCGGCAATCGTGAATTCGTGATGGAAATTGATTGCAGTTTCGCCATCATTTAGTGGTTCATGGTCTAGATTCAGCTTCTACCAAAACAAAATCGACCGCCAAAAACTCGACCCCTACGCTCCGTCTCGATCTCTCGCAACTGCGAAAATGTACGTGTTTTGGCGTACTTGCTTGCGACATGGTAAGCCAGGTAAGGTATGGAATATGGATGAGTTTTTTTACGACCGATTTTTGTTTATACAATTTTACACGGAGATTCAGCGCGCGGACCAAGAAATGCACGCAATGAATACGAAGCTAGAAGAGAGCGCGCGACCACTCGTAATCGTTACGGGGGCGATTTGAGATCATTTCACTGTTTGATGTCGCCCCCGAAATCGGATTTTGAGCCTATTTCGGGGGCTGTTTATGGTCTTTCCGGGGCGAATCCGCCCTCCGCCCCCGTGTATTTTTTTGGCTGAATTCTACACAGTGCAACGCACTTTCACTGAAGATAGAGGTACTATCTACACAGGACAACGCACTTTCACTGAAGATTATCCTAAAGCGCACTAAAACCAGCGTAATTAAGCGCGCATTACGAATGAGTCTTTTGATTTAGCTTTTTGATTTTCATATATTTGGTGATTTAGTGATCAAATTTTGGTTTTTTGATAGTGAAGGAGGTCAGGATTGCAGTTGTTTTTGCTGCGCGTAGTGCTAAGCACCTGTTGTCAGTGACAACATATTGCGCACTCTGTTATTTGTTTTATTACTTCTTAATTTTTAATTGCGCATATACACCTGCGCCAGCGCCTTTCAATTGAAGTACGCGCAGAGGAATTATCCTTTATTACAATATGAACATTTTATGTTACTATTAATATGAAATAATATGAATAATAAATAAATAAATAAATGAATAATAATAATAATAATAATAAATAATTATATTACTGGATTTGTAAAGATATATATATTACGCTTTGTACTGATATGTGCGTTGGGTGTGTTTGAGTGCTGATAATATTATTATAGTTCACAATTTGGTGTTTATTCAATTATTGTTTCTATATTTCCTGTTTTACGTGATTAACTTAATCATAATTTGTTCTTGAATCGATTGGGTGAGTGGTACATACGCGGTATTATTTTATTTTACTTTTAGGCTCTGCATAAGCTTGGCTTGTTAGAGCTCTTGTGAGTAGTGTGCCGCGGGGTTTCATATCCTTAAACTGCTGGCGAACAGAGCAACAAGACCAAGCCCTGTAATTGTTAGGTTTCTCCAATGGTAGGTTTGTCCAATAATGCCGAGTTTGTGCCACGGAACTTAGTCGGACATTTCGATTATATTCTTTTCATGTCATACGTCTTTATCTTCTTCTTTTTTTCTTTTTTTTTAAAATTTAAAAAAAAAAATATTTTTTATAGTTTAGTCTACCTTAATTGCTGATACCTCCTCAATATATATATACGATAGACTATCATTAGTTCTGCTGCATTACCATATAGCTTACTTAAAGGTTACTGCAGATCAAATCAATTGATTCATAATATATTATAATCAGTTACTCAATTTATTATTTAAATTAGTTTGATATCCTAAGGTAATTCGATCTGCCCTTAATCTCCTTAATATTCTTGCACTTATTTCGAGGAAAAAAATCTTTGTTTCTCTACTATAATCAGTGTTTTTATCACAGCACTGAATAGAGATATATTCAATAAAGTAAGGTAATATTTTGTGGGTTCAATTAGTACTCTTATCATAAGAGTAATTGTAATCGCCTCATTCTTTTAATAATTGTTAATTGGTTTTGCCATGCTTAGTTGTAACCACTGCCCTGTGGTTCAGGTTCTCTTTAGAATCTAACTAAGGCTAAGGGAGCAAACCCTAACAGAAAACCATGCTACCGTGACAGCATTGAGGGCGATTGACGATACGGAACTCCCGACATCCTTCGACCAGTCACTGCAGGGTCTAGTGGTTCACACCCGTCCTGGTTTGTCCTCGCCGGTGTGAAACTGCCACCAGTTCCCCGAGAGAGTGCCGGTAGTAACTTGCAAGAGCTACCGGTACTTATCCACCTTTGCAAGCAGCCTTCACTATGCGCAACAGTATGAATGAGTGCAATTAAAGCAAACACATGCGCGCACCGTACCCTCAAGGGGTTGGGTTAAACTTTTAACTTTTTTGGTGTGAATTTGGGCCTGGTGTCTTTCATGTAGATGCATACACGTCCTTTTCTTTTTGTAGTTAAATTGTTTTAGATGTGGAATATAAAGCAAATAATCACCTTTTGGTTTCAGGCGATGGCAAACTATCACTTCCTCGTCAATCAGAATGTATACGCTATCTTTCCTCAGCTTCGCTTCGGAAAGATAGCTACATCCAGATCGCCTCGGAAGTGATAGTTTGTCCCATCACTCTCACCAACGGTAGTTATTTGCTTAATATATTTCAAGGATATTGTTCTTAATACCTGTTCCCATGAACCACACCTCTTTCAAAAGATACCATTTTAGATGAATGCTTGTCTTTTATAAGGCTGGGGTTGGGATTGAAACTTGTCCTCGTGATTGCAGAATAGTGAGACAATATCTCATGGAAATTATCACATTTTTTGTCATCCTTTTTCATCCCAGATTACATTAGAAAGTATACACAGTCTGTGCAAGGCATGTCCATCGCAAACATGTAACTTCATGGAGATGCTAGCCGCAGACTTGTCATTAGCACCAGGTAAGTGTTATGAAAAAAGAAAATTCCAAAATGAAGTGCAATTTTATTGTTGTAAACCCCTTGCGGTGATAAGGTGTTTTCACTGTGCTTTCAATCAGTTCTGACTGGTTTTGTGTTCTTATAATGTTATCTGCCTGTAGCTTGCTTTCATTTGAAGATGTTGAGAGCAGTATTCTAATGTGTCACTGCCTAGCTAGCCTCTCTGAGATCAAGCCCAAACTCCTGGTCCAGAGTAGGGACATTCTCCAGGACCAATTCAATCTGGTCCTACTGAAGGGTTTGAATAATGTGCAAGATGGTTCCACTGTGCTTTAATCAGCATTGATTGCATAAACATTATTTTGTGGTGATTTGCTCTTTGTCATAACATGATAAATCCACATTGCTTTTTCAGATGCCGAGAGCAGTATTCTAATGTGTCACTGCCTGGCTAGCCTCTCTGAGATCAAGCCCAAACTCCTGGTCCAGAGTAGGGATATTCTCCAGGACCAGTTCAGTCTGGTCCTACAGAAGGAAGAAAGTGGAACTGATCGAGACCAGGGAGGCTTTCTGGTAGGTGCACTGGACCTGTAGATACACGACATTGAAATTAACAGCAAAAGAAACGAGAAAACAGAATGGAATGGAATGAAAAAAAAAGAAGCACACTACTTTAGAATAGAAATTTTTGGGGCTATACATTATCAGCAATCACTTTATGAACAAATACCAACTTACTATTTTGAGGGCATCTCACAGAAAGAAAAAAAGTTTTCCTCATAAGAATGATATATTTGAATATTTTAAACAATGAAGCAACCCGGCCTGGTAGGAGTGGTAGCAATCGTTTACTTCAAGACTCTTTTACAATTTTCATCTGATGTGATATTGCTAAAGAGTATTTGTCTATTGAGTTTGAGGCACAGTACATTAAAGATTCCATCATTCAAACAACATTGAATGCTTTTCTGTGTGTCAGGAACTGGTTTGACATAGCCTAGTCAATAATGATATATTAGTGCTTAGTTTATTGTGTGCATTCATCTTTAAATCAAATTATGAAATTAATTTATCAAAAGACGTGATGTTTTAATTTAAGTGCATGTACGTGGTACCTAATTATTTATTATATATCTTGTGAATATTTATTCACTGATGTCATTTGTAATATTGCTATCATCATCATCATCATCATTATCATTATTATTTATTAATATTATGATCATTATCATTGAAACAGGTTGCCCTCGCTGTTTTGGTGTTGATTGAGGAGAAGACTTCAAAGCAGACTTTTATTGAAGACAAAGCCGTGTTCTTGGCTGAGTGTAGACCGTGGGTTGCCTATCGTATCGCTAGACAAGCTACTAGAGTGGTAGGTTGCAATTTATAGCTATCACAAAAACCTATATTCATTCTGCACTGCTACTGCTTTCAATTTTTTATTGACTTTCAAAATGAATGTGTTTCTATTATGAATAGTGTGCATGCGAGCAGTAATATTCAAACATGTTTTCTAGTGTTGCTTGAGTATATCTTTTTAATATCACACGTTCAATTTCATTTTCGTCCATTTTTTTTTTAGGGATGTCACAAAACTGCCAGTAAAATCTTCAAGAATCTAACTACGCAGGTATGTTAGTAGATCCTCATTGGTTGTACAACTATTTGCACTAATGACCGTGTAACATCAAATGGTTTTGGACCTGGACACCAAAACTTTATTCTGTGTAAATGATGAGGGGCTGATATTAGTGCAAATGATGATTTGATGATGTTGATGGTGAGGATGATGGTGATGGTGGTGATGATGATGATGAGGATGATGGTAATGGTGGTGGTGATTGGGATAGTTTCTATTGATGGTTTATACTGTTGTCAAGTCAAGAATAATATAACTGATCGTACTGCTGCGAAAGTTATACTGCAGTAAATTATACTGCAGCAATTTGACGTGCTATCTTTCCTCTTACTTTGCAGGTTGCCTCTGAGCATTTCTACTACTGGCTTGGTTCCTTGGAGGTCCTCAGTCAAGCGGAAGCCTATCTGATGGAGCTCAAGACCGAGATTGATCCCAGCAACGCTGCTAAACTCTCTAGAGCTCTTCAGGAATACGAGAGCGGACTGGCTGCTTTGAGGGCAAGTGCAATTCTTGATGATGGATGAAATGAAATCGAACCATAATGTCTATATGCAGGCAATATTGACAAGGAATTAAGAGCCATGTTGAGTAGACTGTCTCTACAACTACCCCAAACCTGTTGAAAGTTTTTTTCAAAGTTTCCCAAGTTCCATGAAGATCTTCTAATATAAGACAATATACAATACTTTGGTTTTTTCAAAATCGAATATTAGATTTCATTGAATATTTTTATGCCTCCGCCACCGAAGGTGGTGCCGGAGGCATCATGTTTTCGGGTTGTCCGTCCGTACGTCCGTCCGTCCGTCCGTCCGTACGAGTTTGCGATGGTATGCTTGTGTGTTTAGTTTTACGTATGAGATATCCTTGTGTGTCACTTTAGACTTGTGTGTCTAGCCACACAAGAAAACTATCATATTCAGTGTCTAAGATGTCTGACATGTCATTTCTAATCAACTAAGATTTAGTCACACAAGAAAAAATATTCCCCCAAAAAGGCCCAAAATAAATGTCCAAATTTTAGAGAGGGGTTGTGTCCAAGTAGCCAAACGGAATAGTGCCATCTACAGTTGACATCCAGGTAGCTAGGTACTATGCGCATCTACAGTACTTGTGTGTGTGTGTGTGTGTGTGTGACTTGTTAGTGTGTAGTATTTGTAAGCAAAGTAGTAGGCAGTGTATGGCTCTGTGTATGTGTGTGTCATGGGTGGATGGTTTTGTGTTTGCAGTGTATATAATACATGTAATGTTTTTTATGCCACACAAGCCTTAATTTTCTTGAATTGGACAGGGGTAGACAATAATGTCGTTCTGCCACACTAGCCTTAATTTTCATGACTTGGACAGAGGTATATAATACATGTAATGTCTTTCTGCCACACAAGCCCTAATTTTCTTGACTTGGACAGGGGAAGATAATAATGTCTTTCTGACACACAATCCTTAATTTTCTTGACTTGGACTGGGGTAGATAATAATGTCTTTCTGCCACACAAGCCTCTATTTTCTTGACTTGGACAGGGGTAGACAATAATGTCTTTCTGCCACACAAGCCTTAATTTTCATGACTTGGACTGGGGTAGATAATAATGTGTTTTAGCCACACAAGCCCTAATTTTCTTGACTTGGACAGGGGTAGACAATAATGTGTTTCTGCCACACAAGCCTTAATTTTCTTGACTTGGACAGGGGTAGATAATAATGTCTTTCTGACACACAAGCCTTAATTTTCTTGACTTGGACTGGAGTAGATAATAATGTCTTTCTGCCACACAAGCCTTAATTTTCATGACTTGGACAGAGGTATATAATACATGTAATGTCTTTCTGCCACACAAGCCCATTATTTTCTTGACTTGGACTGGGGTAGATAATAATGCCTTTCTGCCACACAAGCCCTAATTTTCTTGACTTGGAAAGTGGTACAGGTATATAATACATGTAATGTTTTTATGCCACACAAGCCTTAATTTTCTTGACTTGGACTGGGGTAGACAATAATGATTTTCTGCCACACAAGCCTTTTTTTTCTTGACTTGGACTGAGGTAGATGACAATATCTTTCTGACACACAAGCCTTAATTTTCATGACTTGGACAGAGGTAGACAATAATGTCTTTCTGCCACACAAGCCTTAATTTTCTTGACTTGGACTGGGGTAGATGACAATATCTTTCTGACACACAAGCCTTAATTTTCATGACTTGGACAGAGGTATATAATACATGTAATGTTTTTTTATGCCACACAAGCCCTAATTTTCTGGACTTGGACAGGGGTAGACAATAATGTCTTTTTGCCACACAAGCCTTAATTTTCTTGACTTGGACAGGGGTAGATAATAATGTCTTTCTGTCACACAAGCCTTAATTTTGTTGACTTGGACTGGGGTAGATGACAATATCTTTCTAGCAACACAAGCCTTAATTTTCTTGACTTGGACTGGGGTAGACAATAATGTCTTTCTGCCACACAAGCCCTAATTTTCTTGACTTGGACAGTGGTACAGGTATATAATACATGTAATGTTTTTATGCCACACAAGCCTTAATTTTCTTGACTTGGACTGGGGTAGACAATAATGTCTTTCTGCCACACAAGCCTTAATTTTCTTGACTTGGACTGGGGTAGATAATAATGTCTTTCTGCCACACAAACCTTAAATTTCATGACTTGGACAGGGGTAGACAATAATGTCTTTCTGCCACACAAGCCTTAATTTTCTTGACTTGGACTGGGGTAGATGACAATATCTTTCTGACACACAAGCCTTAATTTTCATGACTTGGACAGAGGTATATAATAATGTCTTTCTGCCACACAAGCCTTAATTTTCTTGACTTGGACTGGGGTAGATGACAATATCTTTCTGACACACAAGCCTTAATTTTCATGACTTGGACAGAGGTAGACAATAATGTCTTTCTGCCACACAAGCCTTAATTTTCTTGACTTGGACTGGGGTGAATGACAATATCTTTCTGACACACAAGCCTTAATTTTCATGACTTGGACAGAGGTATATAATACATGTAATGTTTTTTTATGCCACACAAGCGCTAATTTTCTGGACTTGGACAGGGGTAGACAATAATGTCTTTCTGCCACACAAGCCTTAATTTTCTTGACTTGGACTGGGGTAGATGACAATATCTTTCTAGCAACACAAGCCTTAATTTTTTTTGACTTGGACTGGAGTAGATAATAATGTCTTACTGCCACACAAGCCTTAATTTTCATGACTTGGACAGAGGTATATAATACATGTAATGTCTTCCTGCCACACAGGCCCATTATTTTCTTGACTTGGACTGGGGTAGATAATAATGCCTTTCTGCCACACAAGCCCTAATTTTCTTGAATTGGACAGTGGTACAGGTATATAATACATGTAATGTTTTTATGCCACACAAGCCTTAATTTTCTGGACTTGGACTGGGGTAGACAATAATGTTTTTCTGCCACACAAGCCTTAATTTTCTTGACTTGGACTGGGGTAGATGACAATATCTTTCTGACACACAAGCCTTAATTTTCTTGACTTGGACAGAGGTATATAATACATGTAATGTTTTTTTTATGCCACACAAGCCCTAATTTTCTTGACTTGGACAGGGGTAGACAATAATGTCTTTCTGCCACACAAGCCTTAATTTTCTTGACTTGGACAGGGGTAGATAATAATGTCTTTCTGCCACACAAGCCTTAATTTTCTTGACTTGGACTGGGGTAGATGACAATATCTTTCTAGCAACACAAGCCTTAATTTTTTTGACTTGGACTGGAGTAGATAATAATGTCTTACTGCCACACAAGCCTTAATTTTTCATGACTTGGACAGAGGTATATAATACATGTAATGTATTCCTGCCACACAAGCCCATTATTTTCTTGACTTGGACTAGGGTAGATAATAATGCCTTTCTGCCACACAAGCCCTAATTTTCTTGAATTGGACAGTGGTACAGGTATATAATACATGTAATGTTTTTATGCCACACAAGCCTTAATTTTCTGGACTTGGACTGGGGTAGACAATAATGTTTTTCTGCCACACAAGCCTTAATTTTCTTGACTTGGACTGGGGTAGATGACAATATCTTTCTGACACACAAGCCTTAATTTTCTTGACTTGGACAGAGGTATATAATACATGTAATGTTTTTTTATGCCACACAAGCCCTAATTTTCTTGACTTGGACAGGGGTAGACAATAATGTCTTTCTGCCACACAAGCCTTAATTTTCTTGACTTGGACAGGGGTAGATAATAATGTCTTTCTGTCACACAAGCCTTAATTTTCTTGACTTGGACTGGGGTAGATAACAATATCTTTCTAGCAACACAAGCCTTAATTTTCTTGACTTGGACTGGGGTAGACAATAATGTCTTTCTGCCACACAAGCCCTAATTTTCTTGACTTGGACAGTGGTACAGGTATATAATACATGTAATGTTTTTATGCCACACAAGCCTTAATTTTCTTGACTTGGACAGGGGTAGACAATAATGTCTTTCTGCCACACAAGCCTTAATTTTCTTGACTTGGACTGGGGTGAATGACAATATCTTTCTGACACACAAGCCTTAATTTTCCTGACTTGGACAGAGGTATATAATACATGTAATGTTTTTTTATGCCACACAAGCGCTAATTTTCTGGACTTGGACAGGGGTAGACAATAATGTCTTTCTGCCACACAAGCCTTAATTTTCTTGACTTGGACAGGGGTAGATAATAATGTCTTTCTGCCACACAAGCCTTAATTTTCTTGACTTGGACTGGGGTAGATGACAATATCTTTCTAGCAACACAAGCCTTAATTTTTTGGCTTGGACTGGAGTAGATAATAATGTCTTACTGCCACACAAGCCTTAATTTTCATGACTTGGACAGAGGTATATAATACATGTAATGTCTTCCTGCCACACAAGCCCATTATTTTCTTGACTTGGACTGGGGTAGATAATAATGCCTTTCTGCCACACAAGCCCTAATTTTCTTGAATTGGACAGTGGTACAGGTATATAATACATGTAATGTTTTTATGCCACACAAGCCTTAATTTTCTGGACTTGGACTGGGGTAGACAATAATGTTTTTCTGCCACACAAGCCTTAATTTTCTTGACTTGGACTGGGGTAGATGACAATATCTTTCTGACACACAAGCCTTAATTTTCTTGACTTGGACAGAGGTATATAATACATGTAATGTTTTTTTTTATGCCACACAAGCCCTAATTTTCTTGACTTGGACAGGGGTAGACAATAATGTCTTTCTGCCACACAAGTCTTAATTTTCTTGACTTGGACAGGGGTAGGTAATAATGTCTTTCTGCCACACAAGCCTTAATTTTCTTGACTTGGACTGGGGTAGATGACAATATCTTTCTAGCAACACAAGCCTTAATTTTTTTGACTTGGACTGGAGTAGATAATAATGTCTTACTGCCACACAAGCCTTAATTTTCATGACTTGGACAGAGGTATATAATAC